GGAGATTAAGGTCCTTGCTCAAGGTCCCAACAGTGAATTCACTCAGTTGATGCTGGAATTAGAACCAGTAACCTTCTGATCAGAAGTCCAGCACCCTAACCTGCTGGGCCACACACGTCCCCCAACATGAATCACTACAACAAAACGATTATTTAGGTCTCCATGAATTAATATGAACTAAGCAATGAATGGCAGCTAAGTTAACAGTCACAGGAGTTGCTGGCTTGATCCATACTTGTTTGATTCAATATGGTGCTGTAGAGGAAAGGAGGATTCTGGGATGGGGTGCCACGAGCCAGCTGAAGCTGCAGGGAGTGCTTCATGTTGGACTCCATTGTGAGGACGATGGTGCTGTTTGTATCAGTGACGTCGAAGGTCAGGGTGATGATGGTGTCTCCCTGGAGCGTCACGTTCTGGTAAGTGACCTCTGGAGCATCAGAACGTGGCAGAAAAATCTGGAGGGAGAAGAAAAAAATGAACACAGGAGAAGAAGCACACTGAAAGCAGAACGAGGAACTTGGAGCTCTTTTCCATAAGTTAAAAGGATTTTACCCTTACCTGAATGCTGTCTGACAGGTTGTATAAATTAATGTTTCCTCCAATCACATCCTTGAGGGACAGACTGCTCACCGACCCTGTGATGTTTTCATTAGGGGTGTTCGGAAATGGGTTTACCATAAAGGAGAACATCTGAGAAAAGGCAAAAAGTACTCATGTTTTGTTCTTGTTTTTTTCCCCCTTTAAAAACACTTATTACAAACAATGCACTTATTAGCTGTTGAGATCCTGAGCCTTGTACTAACCATACAAAGGTTGTGGGTTCAAATCCCATGGAGCTCATGTTAATCGTCACCCTTATCTCTGCTACAAAGTACTTTGTTTATTCATTTATCTAATGCTTATAGGTCAAGATTCAAGATTGGTTGTCAATGCAACAATATACACAGTATACAGTGTATTGAAATGTCGTTCCAAACAGGTCCCCCATGGTGCATTATAAAGATAAAAATGCAATATGTTGGGCTTAAATACAAGACCAAGGCCCTTCTGAGATGTGAAGTAACAACTATATGGTTACTGTAAAGGTCCTTAACTTGTTACATACAAGTAGCATTTAATGAAACAATTCAGGCTTGAGTATGTTACTTCAGCTCCTTGTCTGAGATCCAGCTTGCTTCACTTACCTGAACATTCACCTCAGTGTCGTGCTTCAGCAAGGACTCCAGAGCAGTTAAGGAAGGCATCACGTAATAAGGTCCATTGGCCGCATCCCCAATCACACTTTCAGCAAGTTGCTGGATTTTCTGTCTACAAGACACAGTGCAGAGGGTATTGTCACACACTTCACACCCTTATATGACAGAAGTCCACTAATTCCAGACAAACCTACAAACCTGCTTACGGTGATGGTCACCAGAGGCTGGCTTATCGTCGTGACACCGGTTCCAGAACTGGCCATCAGGAGACTCACTTCTTCAAGGATTTCAAATACCAAAGATGACATATCTGAGTGCTATGATAGGATACATGACAGCAGAGTGGCAATGAAACTAGTTTCCAGCTTGGAATAAGCTATTCCCTACACTGATCCCAGAGCAGCCAACTGCTCTACAGCTGTTTTAACTTCTCGTTTCATTTCGTAAATTATTTAAGTACATTTTTCAGTGATTATTGATATATATTTTTATGATACTAGTATATGAGCCTGGAAACGCTTATCATCACAACGCCAACATCACACCCAAAGACGCACCTCAGATTCTGAGAGGCTTTCATAGGCACAGGAAGATGCAGAAAGCATAAAGATGCCATTGCTGCAACCTAGGATGTTGCTGAACTGGTCCGTGTCAGCAGAAGTGAGACTTGATGTGACGTTCTTCAGAAACTGTAGGCACCTCATCTGTGGGGCGGAGGTGATAGTGCTTTAGGATGGAGACAATGCACATTGAGACAATGTAATGTTGTGATAATGCGCTATATAAATAAAATTGAATTGAAATTGAATTGAATTGAGTGGAAAAGTCATGTATCAAAAATTCTATAGATTCTTTAGTGGTCATTAAAATAACATTAATTGATGCAATAATCCAGAGATAACCCAATACACCAGAGAGAATATTCTTTTGGTCCATATTGATTGCTCTGTTGTTAAATGGCTGATTCAGCTATCCATGGAATGAGTCCATAGATTTGGCAACACTCGTGTAGGAGACTGAGGTAGGTGGGCGGGGTCTTTGCATAATCGCACACGCTGGGTCACGTGGTATCGATGGCGGCAGTATTTTGTAATATCACTTGTTAGGTGAAAGCGGTAGTGAGTGGGTGATGGGGGAAAGCCTACTTGTAACCGCAAATGTGACCGCAAATGTGATCACGAATACAATCGCGAATGTCAGTGAATGTGTTTTGCTTTTACGGATTATTGCCTTGGAAACGAATGTATTTTATCGCTACTTGTGGATCCTACGGATGTTTCATGAGCTGACTTGTTGGGTGTTTAATGCTTTTGATGCTTGAAGATTTTGATACTGAATAAAGGATTAAATTGAAAGAACAGCCCTTGGATTATTACCAGCTGGGCGTCGGGCAGGTTAAGTTTCCTCTGATCAGCCGCTCGGCGATTTGAAAGTTTTGTAAGACAGTTGCCTATAACTCGCATTGTAACTCTTGTGTTCTACACTTCATGAAAATAATGGTGCATGTAAGGGCTGATTTGTACTTCTGGGTAGAATGTATGCCATAGTCTACGTCATAGCTTGGCCCCCGTAGTCACATTTCTGGTGTGTGTCAAGCTACAGCGTAGACCATGGCCTAGGGTACACGGCTACGCCAGACCAATGGGGGGGGTCGATTCTACACAGAAATATAAATCAGCCTAACATCTTAATGAACATGACTGCATGGCTGATTATACATGACCACAGATGGGGGTAATACATTTACCTCCTCTGAAAATGTAGGCTCTATTACCCCCAACTCCATCATTTCCAGGAAGTTAACAGCAGTCTGTCGAAAAAAGTTCATGCTGAACTATGCAAACATTCCACTTAAAAATGTCAACTGCATATGAGGGAACATTCCTATTTGCCACCATCAAGACTAACCTGCACAACAAAGCTTGGATTCTGCATGTTATTCGCCATGTTGCCCAGCATATCTTTAGGAGGGACAAAAATTGAGAAATTAGCAAACAGATAGGAAGAGGAATCAAATTGCATGTAATGCATAACTCATTACTAACCCATGGAAAGATCCCTCTTTCTTCTCTTATCTGGGAAGTTCTAAGAAATAAAGGGGAAATTGAAAGATATTGAGCTGAATTGCCTGGGAATTGGCTTGGAAGCACCACTCCATAGATGAATGTGACATCCAGACTCACTGCACATTAGTTTACCTGGGTTGGGGTCGTTGGGTCAGAACCATCTGTTTCCGGATCTGAAAGAAAGTCATTGACAAAACCTTCCAACCAATGAAAAAGCAAAACTGTTTAACAGCCACAATTACACCTTCTCATACTTCTTACGGAATTATTGCTAATTGCTATTTTTGCCAGGAATGGTGGTAGATACAGTATAACACAGAGTAATGTGGCAGATGCTAGGCTAGGGACTCTACCAATGACGCATATAGATCCATATGTCAAGTTGCAGTTAGATGTCATCAGCAGCTGAACGTCTGGGTCTGTAATGATGTAGGCGCAGTTAGAAGGGTCTGCAACAGAGACACGGGGAGTTCGGCATTATATCACACTCTTCCAACTCGCAACATTTCTAAGGCAACCATGATGAGTGACGGATATTCCCTCGATTTCTGTCCGAAGACAGACTAACAGTCGTGGCAGGTGTCCTCAAATCCACAAGCTCTCCACAAGGCCATCACTTATTATACAGGCACAAGCCAAGAAAAAGAGAAAAACAGTAACATATGAAGCACATTCAAATGATCATTAGCATGTAAATCCTATGCAAATTCAGTCGCATTCAGCCTGCGGTTTGATCCAATGCTTTCATTGAAGATTTAAGCCACTATGAAAATTTGGTGGCCCTGTAAATCTAGTGCAGTGCTCATTATATCTGGTTAATTGGTCATAACATGTAATGAAGTTTTTTTTTTGTATAGAAGAGTAGTCAAACTCACTAAGTACTGAAAGCTTCTGACTGGGGGACACCCTTGTATAGGCCGATACCTGCATGGAGTATCAGGACAAAGATAAATCATGGATCCTCCAATGACTGTATCTGTAAGGTTTGACCCTAAATAATGTCTATCCAGTACACAAATATAATTTTCAAAACCCTTCATCACCATTCTGTGAAGTATGAAATTCATTGGCTGCAAACAACAGGCTGGAGTGGAGCATTGAATGGTAACCGATGTCCGTATGTGCGGTTTCAATATTGTTAGGTACCAAATTAGCCCTGAACCCCCATCCTCCAAAACACACGATACTCACGCAATATTGGTAGAGACATGTCCCTACCGTCTACACCCTAAACCGATGCAAAATTCAGGTCAAAGATTTTAGACACAAATGATGAATAACATGCAGAGCATCACACTGTGTACCTGAAAGTATCACACAAGAGTGTAACGAAGGCTAAGGGACATATTTACACCCATACAAGGGTCTTTCAAAACAGAATCGCCCTGTGTCCTTTATTGATTCAGGAAAGATCTAAGTAAAAGTATATCAGCGTCCAAGCAGCAAAACCTTTTTGGTAACAGCGAGAAGCAGTTTCCCCGTTAAACTCTTATCCCTGCTCAAAAAGCATTATTACCTGTAATTAAGCTATATGACATTTGACGGGAGTACGGAAATGCACTAGTCCTGTTTTACCGTTCAGTCAGCGATTAGCCCTAATTAAGTGTCCACATTTCCAGCCTTAAAAAGCACAACATAACATTTTTAGATAGTTATTATGCGTATTTCTTAAATATGGCACTGTGTGTTTTGAAGCAGCGAACTGTCAAAGTGGCTCTTTAACCAATAGAGTGGCTGTCTGACCGCTGATGCCGCCCCATAGAGAGCGCCGCTGAAATATCGCGGCCGGTCGCCCCGCAATTACTCACCTTTCGCCTCTTTGAATTCTGCGTTTTTATTATTATTATATATTTTATTATTATGTCCCACCCATTGCGCACAATTAGGGACTTTATCCTTCTGCGCCTCCTGTTCCAGGACCATCATGGTATTGCAGCTCAGGTCCTGCAGCAGATGCCCGCCTCGGCTCTGGCAGAACTGCGCTGCCTCGGACCACGACATGGGCATGTGGACAAAGTTAAGGCTTGCGGGGTTCACGCCGTCTTCTTCAGAGTTGCATTTTTCTGACTTAGATGGGTGAGAAGCAACCAACGTCCATAAGAGGAGAGAAACGAGGAGGATGCCGGTCATGGCTGACAGCGTCCAGGAGCCAAAAGCACCAGTCCCTCCGAGGTGTCCACGGGACCACTGAAACAAGTCAGATGTTCCCATCATCCTGACCTAGGGAAATCAGTACAAGCTGCCAATGAAAATACCAAGTCTGCTCCCTCTTTAGTAAAATCACTTTCTTCAAACTTTTACAGCATGCAAAAGATATGCGGATATAGGCCTACCTTTGCATGACTCAAGGTCAAAACCATTAAAAGTGATCACATTTTAACTGTAGGCTTCAAAAATAATATCGACTCCCTTTTCTCAGTTATTATTACAAATATATGTACAAATGACATGTCACTTTATCGATTCTGGCACCTAATGCTTAGAGATGGCCAGTGATTCTTTTTTGTAAAAAAAAAAAAAGGCTTCCATCATGTAGTCAATACAACAAAAAGGAAAATTCAACTGAATCAAAATACTTTAGTTATTAATCGATTTGCAGCACTGAATTAAGTAAAACACAACATTTGTATGGCCAGACCAATAAACCAGATCGGTGGTCCATAAGTAATAGTATTAATGATTATACTTTTACAATGTAAATCATCTATTTCAAAATCCGCGAGTACAACTGATCTTTGCGTTCGCGCGGTCGATTTTATTCACTATAGCGTTAAAATATCTGTACTCTTTAGCAATACAACATGATGGGTAACAACGATTATTTTGCAATATCTTTGTTTACTAAAACTTAGGCCTATTTGCGAGTGCAGGATTGATCTGCTTCCAGCCTTGCGCTGATAAATCCCCGCATCGCCCCCCGCGTACCTCCGTGCTGCGCCAAATGCCTATAAATGGCCGCAAGAAACTGACTGCTAATCAGTGGTAAAAGTAACGAATAATTAACGCACATGGCAGAACACTACAAGGTAACGGAACTTTTTGAGACACAAAATGCCTATATTAATTGGTATTGATTTTTTTTAAATCATCTGAATTTGTACCAAATGTTTTGATCGCACGTTTCAATGTTCAGACCGATTTTATGCGCGTAAAAGAAAACCTTTTATTAATCTGGAATACAACTGAAAAGACAATTGCAACATGATTTTTTTCGTCTATATCGTTTAATAATAGTTGGAAGTCGCTTTCATGGTAAGCTAATTTAGCAAATTTAATTCGATATTAATGCAATTCACATAACACTGGTTAATACGTGGATGGCTGAAAAAACGACTGTTTAAGTCAATAATAATCATTTTGTCCATAATGATTTGCCAAAGATTTTGACAATTTAATTGTATTTGGAAACGTAGTTTATCATGTGAAAGTCTTAATTTACTCCCTTGTTGATTTTAAGTATAAACTAAGAAAAAAACTATAAATCTTATTATTTCATTTGAATAATAACTATTGATAATAATAACTATTGAATGAATACGCCTCTTTAATTTAATTCCGATTATGAATGGTTTGTGACAATATCTTTTTGCGTATTTGGGGTTCTGGATATTTGGAATAGTTTTTCCAGACCCTTTATACATGCGGACTAATATGTTTTTTGATTTTTCTTTGTAGAGGTGTCTGAAAGATGTGGTGAAAGTGATCGGTTCAGGTAGCATCGTCTTTGTTTCCTACCTCACGGCTATTGGAGATGAGCGTTTCTATGCCAACCAGCTGATGCCCCTGCTGCAAAGGACTGTGGGAGTGGATGCAGCCCACTTGCTGATGGTTCGGCTCATTGGCCTGGGACTGGTACCAGGCATCAGGTACCAGGACCCGGTGTCACTGGTCAGTCTGAGCAGTCTGCTTTCTAGGGTTTTTTTGTTGTTGTTGCTACCATTCCCTGCAGTTAACTTTGCTGCAGTGTTAATTTCGTCAGACGAGACGAGACGAAATGTGTTCGTCAACGACCCTCTTTCCTATGACTAAGACGAGACGATGACGAGACTGCACCAATGTTCTAAAATACTGACTAAGACTGTGTTAATGTGCCTTATTGTTGACGAATAAAAACGAGACTAAAATGTTTTGCAAGAAATAAAAACTAAACAAAACTCATCGGCAAAAAAAAAGCAAACCATGTCACCTTTTTTGTTTGACCTGCATCGGGGGCCTATATTACCGCTCTCAGCTGAAGATCATCACGTTCGAAATAGCCGGCGTTTAAACTGGCGACCGTATGATTACATGCATACAGGCTTAGCCCACTGAGCCATGAACACAGGTAGGAGAGTCGCTGCTGAAAGTGGCAACACTAGCGCAAAGCTTCAGCGGCAGAGACGTATCCGTGTGCTATATTGTAGCCGATCAGTGTAAACACTACCCAGACATGTGCTCTTGTTTATTTCAATCACAATGGGCGTATTCACGTATTTCTTTACCCAATACTAACTGTCTGATTATCATATTATTATCATGCGAATAGCACGATTTGCAAGTGGGTGGGCGATCAGAGCTGCTTCGCCAACGGTTTGGCGCAATTTCTGTCATATCCCGCCGGCGGGATAGCCGACTCCAGATGGTTAACTGGAATGATAAACAGAAATCATCTCTGAAATAACAAATAAAACGGACTAAAATGTTCAAACGAAAACTTGATTAAAATACCTTGAGTTTTCGTTTGACTAAATCTAGACTAAAATGTTGAGACTTTTAGTCGACTAAAACATGACTAACAAAAACTGATATGTGAATGACTAAATTTGACTAAGACTAATAAGGAACTTTGACACAAGACTAAGACTAAATTGAAAAATGGGCGACAAAATTAACACTACTTTGCTGGACACTTTTAACAGCATAATATGTTTTTCTTATGAAACTCGAAGTTTGTACTCAATATATTTAATGCTGGCAGAGTGTTCTCTAATCAAAGTTGGAGGTTAGCATGATGCTAAACTATACCCTTGAGGTAGACTCTACACCCTTGAGGTAGGTATCTGCTGTTGTACCCTTTAGAAAGGTACATAATCCAAATTGTATCAGTGTATCTGTAGCCTCACATGAGTACATGAGTTTGTTGTGGTAAAAGGGTCCATTTAGTAGCTGAGTGCCAAAGTTTCTGTGTGTGCACTGCCATCCTCAGGAAGTGAAGGTCATGGGTCATCGCTTCCAGAACCCCCTGGGGCTGCTGACAGACTTCAGCAGGCACTCCGCAGCCATCGATGGGCTCTACAGGCTGGGCTTTGGCTTTGTGGAGGTGGAGACAGCCGACACACAGGCAGTGTCCACTGTCCAAAGGGCAGGCAGCAGGTAGGCCTGACGCAACGTAGGGAAGCTGAAATGTGATGCAGCGTGAAAATCAAATACAGCCCAGGTTATGGTGGGGCTATGTTCTGACCTGTCATAAGGCAAAAACGTCATAAGGCGAAAATCCATTTTAATACAATATAACTAACCAAACAAACATCATAGCCCATACTAGCCTACCTTAAAACACGCGTTGAGCAAAATCATAAACACAAAGCCTGTTTTATAACGAAAGTTTGAACATCTCGTTTAATTTATTGAATAATGTACTACAAGTGAAAAACATTTACCTATAATAAAGTCGAAATATCGTAACTTTAACCATTGTATTCTGGGGAGTCTATGTACGTGGTGTTATAGTGCTTTGTGCATTACTATGGGTAACATTTATATATATTCAGTACTTGCTGATAATAATAATTCAGCAGATCATTTTTTAGTTCTGGTTGTAATATTTTGTATTCATGTTTTCTTTGAGACCTAGTCTGCATGTACACAAGGAAAGTGGTGCCGTGACCTTTGACTCAGACAGTACATGCTAACTCTAATCCCGGGGCTCTATGTGTGTCTGTGTGTGTGTGTCTGTTAAGGTACAAGCCCAGCTGCTTTGTTTGTGCCGCTGTTCAGGAGAGATTAAAGGCGAGGGAGGCCTTCCAGTCAAAGCTGACCACAGGTAACATACCTCCTTCTCCTATGAAGGCCTTCGTCAAGAACATGAATCATAAATTTACAGTATCATACGGAAATCCATCCATCCATCCATCCATTTTCCAACCCGCTTATCCTATTGGGTCGCGGGGGGTCCGGAGCCTATCCCGGAAGCAATGGGCACGAGGCAGGGAACAACCCTGGACAGGGGGCCAGCCCATCACAGGGCACACTCACACACCATTCACTCACACAAGCACACCTACGGGCAATTGAGTAACTCCAATTATCCTCAGCATGTCTGTGGACTGTGGGGGGAAACCGGAGTACCCGGAGGAAACATACGGAAATATGAGTGATTATTTATTATTTACATTAACGGGGGAGTGTGTTGGTTTTGTGGACTAATGAGTCAGAATTTGAAATAATCGGGTCACATTGCTGTGTCTTTGTAAGACAGAGAGTGCATGAGTTCTGCATGTGTGGTTCCCATTGTCCAGCAAGGAGATGGAGGTGTCATGTTTGGCAGTGCATTGTGGGGAACTGACGATGGTTAATCAATGACAGTCTCAACTGTGACAGCAAAGTCATGCTGTCCCATCAGGATTATGGCTGCTTGGGCACAAGCTTTAGAACAACTCAAATAAATGACTTGGCCTGCCACACCGTCCGACCTCAATCCCATAGCACTTGCATGCAACAAACCGTTAGCAACTTGCGCAGTTTGAACTATGCAAGTACGATGCAGGTGTTTCCCGAAACCATAGTCAGTGTAGTGAAAGCAAAACAAGCCGCAAACATCGTTAATACTGCAGAACAAAGGTGCTGGGAAGATGTGATGAGTGATTTCCTGCTGGACGTGAAACTGATCAGCGTAAACTGATGTTGAGAAATCCAAAAAATGTTCTGGTTCTCCAAAAAGTTTTGAGTCATGCGCCACATAACGTTATCTGTTACGAACGGACGTGGTGAAGTGACGACCCACAGTGCGGCTTACTGATACACGGGGAACTTTATTAGACAAGAACAAGAAACAAAAGGGACCATGAGGGGTCAAAACAAAGGCAGGTAGGCGACACGAGGAGAAATGTGGGCTGCAACTAGAAGAGGGAAAGCAGAGGGAACACATGCAAAACACCTACAACAATCACAACAAGACTATCCAATTACAATTAAACACGGGCTGGGAACTACAAGACACGGGTGAGGGTCATAATCACAAAGGACTCAAACACTAGGAAAAGGGTTGACCAGTGACACCTGCTGGCCAGACAGGGACTGACCCTGACAGTATGGGTCATAGATGCACCACATACTGTATATGACAGTGGTTCCATAAGATTACACTGGAGTTGAATGCCACCACAACATCGTAGAACAACGCATTACTCGCTTGGTGAGGCAGGTGTATTCACACCTCATATTTGAAAATGAAAATATACAGAAATATGAGTATATACAGAAAACTATGTATAACCTTATATATGTATAAACAGAGTTTCCAGCAAGTGTACTTAAACCTTTGACATACTGTAAATCAATCCATCCACCTATCAATCTATCCATCTTCTGACTACTTATCCAGTTTAGGGTGACTGGGTGGTACTGTTTGTAATACTGTAAGTCAATTAACAGGCAGCTTACATTAATTGACTGTCATGTGATGCATTCCAAGCTGGGCAACCAATGGGAATTAACCTGGGCCAGAGCAACCTTTCCCAGGATCCTGTGGCTGAGGTTACAGAAGGGGTACAGGCCTTGGGACCCCTAGCAGATTACCTGGTAGTGAATGTTAGCAGGCCCAGCTCCCCAGACTCAAGGGTCCAGATGGGCAAAGGAGAACTGCGCCACCTACTGGACGTTGTGAGTAAAATGTTGTGGACTTCAAAAAATTCAAATTATAAAGATCTTAAAACATTTGAATACTTTAAAGAATTGAGTATGCCATTCTGTTTTTCTTTAGGCTATGAAAGTTATATAGTAAATATTAAAAATGTAGTATCTGGGGAACCAAAGTCTGTTCTCATGAGAAATGTTAGCAGTATTACATTAAAGACACTAAACGAGAAGCCTTCCTGTGGCCAGGTGCTAAGGGAGCGGGACACCTTGCCGTGTGAGCGGCGACCCCCTGTTCTGGTCCGGATTACCTCTGATCTCCCTACAAAAGACAAGCAGGATGTTGCTGATGTCATAACTGAGGTGTGTGTCTTTGACAGGCAAAGTGGTGATGTCACTGTGTTATCTTAACTCTAAGCATTAGTAAAGGGCAATTCCACTGAAAAGGAATAACTTCACATTGTATGCTGTGTTGAATGTATTTGAAGTTGCACAATCAATCAAGCACTTTATTTGTCCCCGAGGGGCAATTTAAGGGCACATAGAGCAGTGTTAAGATCAAACCGACCATACATATACAAACAGTGGGGGAAGACAGGTCAGGAGACAGCCGCTTTACAAGCCAACCGGTCGACCGCACGAGCAGCGACCCGGTCATAGGAAGAACAGAGAAAACAGGATTACATGAGGTGAGAGGCAAATAAAAAAAACAGCCCCTAGACTGTACTCCAGTAGGGAGTATAATGTAGGAACAGAAAAAAACACCTCAGCAACATAATCACATAGCCACTACACAATATAAAAATCGAGACAAGCCACAGGGAAGGGAATGGGGAAGTGGAGGTAGTCCAGCATAGAACAAACAGCCATCCGGTCCTGCAGCCAGATGCCCTGGTCACCGACCCGCCTGTTCACACTGGGGGTGTCAAGCGGCGAAGGCGTTGGATTGGGGTAGGGTGTCCTTGGGGTTGGGGGGGAGGGATGCAAGAGAGTCTCGCTGCCTTGTCCTTCTGGGGGAGTTGTTGAATTCAGCAGCGGCCTTGGCCAAGGCCTGTGCTGATTAGGGGGGAGCCAGAAGCAGATAATTAGGTTGTTTGGGTTTTCGGGCGAGAAGCTGTAATTTTGTAGCTCCTCTAATGTCCACGCTGGTCTCCGCCATCCAAAATCCTTTGCAGAGCTGTGAGCTTCTCCGTGATGTTATCAAGTTTGCGGTCCATAGTCACAATGATGGTATCCAATTTGCGATCTAGAGCCAAAGTCTGAGTGCCGACAGCTCTGCCAACTCCGTCAATCATCCCGGCTAGCCTAGTGGGGCTTTGAGCGGCTGTCACCGTTTTCTTCAATTTCCGATAAACCAGGGCGATGCCTAATCCAATCAGCATAAGACCTGTAATCATGGTTCTGAATAGGTAGATATCTTCAATGTCCTCCACGGACAGAGCTGACAGACACACGACCCTCCACTTCTCCCATCCGTCCATGGGACTTTCAATGGGACTTTCAACCTTCTTAAAACATCTATGGCACAGAATATTCATGGACAAATGACATTTACAAACTAAAAGAGGGTATAGAATGTTGCATTGAGACGTTAAACGTACATGGCTCTAAGCTATGGCCGCAAATGACAGTGGTTCCTGAACCATCTATGGGAAATGAAACTAACTGCTCACAAACATTTTCACTGTCTGTCTCTCTTCCAACATTTCAGCTTGGCCTGGACGGTTTGGTTGTCTCCAGCTCTGCCATCTCCAGGCCAGTGTTGGACTCAGAGCAAAGGATGCAGCAAGTAACAAGTGGACAGACCACCAAGGAGCTGTCCAGCCACACAGTGCGGGAGATGTACTCACTGACGGAGGGTAAGTATCCAGTACTCTCTAGTAAGTATCCAGTACTCTCTAATAAGTATCCAGTACTCTCCAGTAAGTATCCAGTACTCTCCTCCAGGGAACACTGACCCATGGCAACAATACAGCTTGCTGTCTGTATCATGATTGCTTTGTTTATGACATTATGATTCATGAATTTCTCTAAACCAGTGTTTCCCAATCCAGCCCTCACGGACCCCCAAACACGTCCACGTTTTTGCTCCCTCTCAGTTCCCAGCAACCCTGAACCAGGTGTCCAGTGTTTGCAGTTGCTTGATTGTTTCAAACGTGCTGGGAGGACTGGGTTGAGAAGCAGTGCTCTAAACCAAATTCGAGTTGGCCGTTTTAATTGAAGCAATAGGTTAAGTACTTTTCTCAAGTCCGTATGCTGCTGTCTCCCCAGGGAAGGTCCCCATAATCGGAGCTGGGGGCGTGGCCAGTGGAAGAGACGCCCTGGACATGATTCGTGCTGGAGCGTCATTGGTCCAGCTCCGCACTGCATTTACATATCAAGGGCCACCCGTCGCCATGAGGATTAAACGGGAGCTGCTACAGCTTCTCAAGTGAGTGATCTAAAGGAGCATAATCAGCCTTGTGGCTCTGCGAGGGTCCTAATGATCAAAGGTATAACGTTAAATGTGTTCCAGAGAGCAAGGATTTAAATGCGTATCTGAAGCTGTTGGGGCAGATGTCAAGACTGGTGGAGGATAACTCCAACCACGGCCATGCAGAGCCAAGATCTAAGTGGACTTCAGACAAATCAAGTGGAGAGTCTGTCATCTGCAATCCTGAAATTCTCACTGGATGCTTTTGCCTCAGCTTTAATCATGAATTCAGTCGCTGTTCCCCACCGGGACCCCTAAAGTAGCAGGTGTCAAGAAAGTATTTACACGTCAAATGTATAAGAACTGTGGAAAACATTTGGAATTTTATGTCTTACAATTGAATGCAATGATAATTATCATGTAAGTGTGTACAGAATATGAATTTATATATCAAATTCATTAATGCAACAACAAAAATAAACTTTAAGCTTAGAGAACACAGTTCACCGCTCCTTCAATATTCCTTCTGGATTTCTTTTTTTTTAATCGTGAAGGACTCATTTTGTGTTGAATTTGTAATCTGACATAAGAACATAAGAAATTTACAAACGAGAGGAGGCCATTTGGCCCATCAAGCTCACTTGGGGAGAACTTAACTAATAGCTCAGAGTTGTTAAAATCTTATCT